TCAAAATTCTCTGAAATGCAGGTACAAATTAATCTCATCATGTCTATACTACTGCTTGAAGGCTTTAAGTAGCAGTTAAAATAAGCTAATTATTTGGCACTTTCTTCACTCATTATGTTGTCCTTGTGAATTCCTGAGAAGGGCTCTAATATTTATAAAAATGAACGTATTTTAAAATAGCTTCACTAAGATGGCCATATACTATTCACTAATACTCGACAGATATTTATGGGGCAAATTCATCTGTCTCCGTTTCTGACAGCCTCGGATACATCTGTCACACTGCTTTCTTACCTACATTCGCTTTCTGTTTTCTACAATGAGACTTTCCTAATCTGGCTCAGCTCTGACTATTGTCGAATCAAGCTTCCTTGAATTTCACTCTTCATGAGGTGCTCATCTTTGGAGGATATAGGCAGGAAGTTTTGCAATTATTTGGAATATAGGTCAATTTGCATTCTTTACATACAGCTCAGCAGATTATGCCCATCTCCTTGGCGTCATTTTTAACCATCTTCTTTATTATTCGTTTTTGACCTGTTACCGATCTTAATCTACATGAAAATCGGTATCATTTGTGGGCATCTAGTTGAATTTGGCCTTCGTCTCATTGAAACCTGCTTGTGTTACATCTTTGCCGAGTTATTCAGACACCCATTATACATGGCTTTCGGTATCATCTGTATTGGCTTAAAGCATCTCCATTTCAGCGGTCTTTTTAAGCAGAAACTCAGATTTTACTGTTGCATCCTTTAGGGCCACAGTGGCTTTTTTACTGTACAAACTGGTCCTTTAAAATGTTTTTAGTTTTTACTGCACTATGCAGTAAAGAGGTTGGACACCTGTTTTTGGTAAGTGTGTTGTTGTTTTCATGCCCATTTCCGTTGACACTTCAAAATCACTCCGATTATAGACAACTGTGTGACGCCTTAGTCTCGCTTTTTCTTGTAATATTGTGAGCCTTGTCTGCTTTTGCCAGGTGATGACATATTTCTCGAGTAGATGGGATCTTTTTTCTATTTATATACATGATGAAGATCTGCGTTTCTACTACATAACATGCATCTGTACATTCTCTCATTTGTCCTTTATTGCTGCAAGTGCATGGAATCGTCGCCATTCCCCAGAACAGTGTTTGCCTAGCGGAAAAATGGCCTCTACGAAGGTTCCACAATCAGCATCGTTGCACGGAGTGGTACCAGTGGCAAGGCCTTGCCTACGCGAGCGACGCGAGAGCCTTTACTGTATCAGTCGAGTCTTACAGTTGTGTGTGATCAAGGGCCATTGCATTTGGCATCGGTTCGTCAGATTTTGGGGTCGGATAGGGTCAGCCGTCGACCGGTTCGTCGAGATGACATGGCTTCTCGATCCCATTGTCAATCGATGGCCACTCCTCAACTGGTTGCTGCCACACGGTAAGTCTGGGTACTTCATTAGCAGGTCACCTAGTCCTCTTCCTCACGCTGCGGGTTTCGTTATTCCTTTTGTACAACAACTCAACTGTTTGCTTTGAATTGCTATGCTGTTTTAGCAGTGATACATTGCTTAAAGATTAAGGCTTGACTTTATTTCGCTGGGATTAGCTTTTGAGACTATCATTGTTTCTTGAATAAGAACTTGGTTAGCTCAGGTCGTTGGGTGTTATTTAAAGAATGATACCTGAGATTTCTCTCAACCAGATTAATAAGTATCACAATGCCATTGCATTTCACCTAGCCCTCCAAAGCCTATATTATCTGGGGTGAGCTGTAGCTTTTATTTCGTCTGAA